GAACTTTCGAATTAACAAAGCTATTTTATATAATAAAAAACATTTTTTAAGCGAATGTAAGGCATAATTTTAGTTTAATTTTACAACTTAAATGTAATTGGTTCAATTTTTTTTTATCTTTTAATGAAATTGTCTTAATTTACTAGGTTATTGATCTAATATGCATTAATTTACTCACTGTCTATACGTATTATGGTTAATGTTCGAAAAATTGTGGTGATTTAAAAAATGGTATAAACATAGTAAAATAACGTCACTTTTAAATAATAACTAGCACACGTGTTTGAAAGAACTGCACCTGATGTGAATATTCGACGAACAATTTTTCTGTTACGATACGTTATATGTTTCGATTGATGTTTGAAAAACTGTGATAATTATATTGATCTATGCTATTGAAAAGTAAGTAAGTTTAAAAACCACGAGTAACAAGTGTGTTTTAATCCGGGACCGATCAAGACAAATTCAGGCCCAAGGCCCTCAAAATTTACCGGGCCCCTAACAAAATATTTTGAAATTAAATTTCTGAAGAGTAGTCCTAACGATGAAAAGAATCTATTGAACTGCATGATTCAACGTTCTAAATAATTTTGAAAGCAGACAATTGAAGATTATTTTTCTAAGATAAAGTTTACGCATCTAAATATTAAAGCAAAATATAAGATATTGTGTGAAAAGAAAAATAGTTTAGTAGCCACAAACAAGTGAAATCAGTGATTTTTACTAAAAGTCACTGATTAGCTGAATTATTTTAAAGATTGTAGCCTTCCATCTACAGCTTTACACATTTGTTAAGAATAAGCTTTTAGTTCTTGTTGACACTAATCATTTATAAGAGACTTTGCGAATACATTCTCGTTGCATTTACTTAATACGTTGGAGTAAAAATTGCACCAATAAAAATTCAGCTGTACTTTCGAATTTGATAAGTGTATTGTTTACACGAGTTTGGTTTATCTCAAAATAAAGAAAATTTGAAATAAAAAAATGACTTTTTTGAGAAAAACTGATTCTTTCGGTATTTTTTAAAAAAAGTAATATTGCGGACTTTTTACTAATTTTTGAGGCCCCCCCAGAAAGTGTGGGCCCTAGGCCCGTGTCTATTGGGGCCTAGGCGATAATCGGGCCTTGCCAGGAATATACATACCATATATATTCTTTGGTATAGCGGTCCTCTTGATGTTAATTTCCATTTTTTCACCAGGGCTTTGATATTTTTAAATGAATAAAAAAATTTATTTACGCACAATTATAAAATTCGTTACTCTAAAGATAATTCCTCTAAAAAAATATTTTTGTGATTATTTATTGCTTGTTATTTTTTTTTTTTACTTTAATAATAAACAGGAAAAAAAAAATGCTGCAAAATTTCTACACCATTTTATTCTACGTTATCTCAAACGACAAAATCCTAAATTTGATTGGAATCGGCCCTCTATTCTCCACCTCTGTAGAATTAAAAATATGACTTCTATGAAATGGTGAATTAAGCAAAAAGGGAATAAATTAACATTAAATGTCCCGTACTTTCGACCACCATTTTGAAGCACAGAACCCAAATCTGTCATAAAATTCTATATTAATTCAGAGAAAATATGTTTTTCAAACATTTGTTCAAACTTTTGATACAATAATATTCACTCTTTATGGAAATTTCTCTGTATGCTATAAACATCATTCTTATTACTATAACATTTTAAATAAATAAGAAATAAAAGATTTCTATAATTCTCTCCCCCCCCCCCCCNCTCCCCCCCCCCCCTCAAATATTTTCTTTCCAAGGCCGATTTATTTCGAAATTTTCCTATTTTTAGCCCTTAGCATAATATAGGGATCAACTGCTTGGTTTAGGTATTTATAAAATAATATTAAAAAAAAAAAAAAAACTCGTAAATAAAGATTTTTTATGAATTTTTTTTCTTTCCAAAATTTTTATTCAAAGGAGCATAAAATACGTGTCGATTATATGTTTATATTTGGAGGTTGAAATTTATGAAAATCATCATTGGTTAAAAATTTGTCCTACATTCTACTAAAAAAAAAAAAAAAAAAAAAAAAAAAAAAANAAACGCCAATCTTGTATAAATCTTTTCTCTATCTTTTTATTTTAATAAAAAATGCAAATTTATATTAAACTTATATAAAACGTGCTGGTTTAATGACATTCTTGAAATTGATATTATGATTATATGTAAAAATAAAATAGTTATTATAAACTGCTCTAAGAATATACACAATGTATTTTTATTATTTTTTTAAAATTCATTTGTATACTTTTTCATTAAGCAAATGTTAATTTCTTATTAAATATTTAACAGCAACATTTCATACGCGAGAATTTTTTCTGAATTCATCCAAGAATTATGGATTTAATATTTCCATCTGTTTACAAGATCTATCACTGCAATTAAAGGTCAAAATTTTTAAATGATTTTATTTCCAGCTACTAAAAGGTCAACAGGAAATTATTATTTATATATTTTAAACAGAAATTTCTCACCGCAAAGATAGAAACGCACATCATTGCATGAATATGTTCATAAATTACACTTTAAAGCAATATTTAATTTAATAATTTTTATGAATGATGCGAGAAGTTAAGCAACATTATGATTGTAATTAAAGGAAGATTTCACATGATTGCTCGAAACAATAGCAATGCAATGTCTTACAAATTGTTTTCTTCATTTTTACATTTTGGTAAAAGTATTTATGATTCTCAAGTCACTATTTCATATTTTGCAAAAATTTATAATAAAAAATATCTTGGTTGCTTGACATTTTTACATTCTACGATTTCTTCCTGAAATCGTAGAATGATTAATGACATACAATCAAAAATTCTATTCCAATAAGGATTTTTTAAGGAAACTTACTCAATTTTAGGGAATTTTTTAAGATGTACAAAGACCAGGAGAATTTTTATTAAACCAGTAGACCAGGAGAAACTGGCAAAATCTAACAGTCTACAGGAAAATCCAGTACAGTTAGTTGCTATGCAATCAGCGCATATGTCTTTTGACTATATGAACTAGCCTTTCTCAAACAAATGAAATTGCCCAGAGGATATGTCCTTAGATACTAGCAATCTTCAGTTTCATGAAACTAGAGAGAGGTCTTACTCTATTAGTTTTAAGTCCGACAGGGTTTAATTAAAGTTGCCGAAAATCATAAACATGGCGTTGTTCCGTAATCAACAAGTGGAAATGCTATAAATTTTGTTTTTTTTCCCGCAAAAATTAAATATGCAAGGAAATAAAAACACTCACGAATTCTAATGAATCACTACTGAGGAAGGCAGGACATAAAATATCCAAACACGAAGTGTTCTAGCAACTTTCGAGTTAATAGAATTAGAAGTCTAACAGTGTTTAATTAAAATTGCCTAAAGTCATGAACAGGGCATTCCGTAATTAACAAGTCGAAATGCTTTTGATTTTATTTTTTCGTAGCAAAAAACCAATATGCAAGGAAATAACAAAAATATTTACGAATTCTAATGAATCACTACTGAGGAAGGCATGACAAAAAATATCGAAACCTGTTTGTTTATAGGATGATAAAGAGAGAAGTTGCAAGATTCTAAGAAACCCTTCCAAGTTTCATTTGACAATCAAATTGATTTCGATGTTTCTCGTACGACATTCGTCACTAAATTGACTTGATCCTTTGGTTGAATAAATTTAATAATATAGTGTCACCAAAACACTTAAACAAAGGAATTGAAAAGCACAAGCTTTAATTTGCTTTTGACAATATAGATAATTGGTATTTTAACTATGGGAGGTTTTTCTTGACATGGTAATCCCCACATGTAAAAGCATCAGTGTTTTACTCAGAAGATATGTTATGAAAACAAGTCAGCACTGAGCCTTGAATCTAAAGCTCCCTTGGTTTGCTAATTAAGTTCAAATTTCAAGTTATTTTGACAACAACATAAAGATCATTGTGTATATTAATTGTTCTTTTATCAAGGAAAAATTAATTTCATACACATAAATTAATGGTTTATCAGGAAAAAAATAATTCATAGCAAATTTTACCTTGATTTTTGTGGAAAAAATTGGACCAATTACTTTTTTTGGAAAGGTATTTTATCCTAAAATTTTTGTTTCATCCCAATTTTAAATCAATACTATCGTCAAAAAAATTATCACTAGCAGTAGCATTTGACATGATGGCAACACTAGATTGTGTAAATTATAAAATTATCACAACTTTAGATTTGCTAAGATAAATTTAGTTGGATTTGCAAAGTATTAGAATAAGTGGCAAAAAAGAAAAAAATATTTATACGAACAATGGTAGTTATTTTATTCTCCAATTCAAACTTCATAAGAAAAACTTTCCTCTATATTTTGGTTTTGGCCTTACTAAACATAAGGTATTATAATGTATATACAGTTGATACATATATTTTTGGAGAATAATTAATTATTTAGAATTTTTGAAATTAGTTAAATCAGATTTTGGGAGCATTCAACATCGTGTAATTGTTTTTAACTTTAGTATAAATTCCGACTTTATGGTACTTGCTTCGGAAACTGGGTTTAGCAGCTGGCTAATATCCTTAAATCTTTCTCAATTCTAAAGGGTTTGTTCAATAATAAGAGTTAAAATAGGACTCTTGCACATGAAATCTTTTCCCCCCTTCATTAATCTTATGAAATGCCTAAATGTCTAAAGAAGGCTAAGGTTATCAATGTAAAATATCTAAGTGGAATATTTATTTATGTATATATATATAAATGGATTCTTACCCAATAAGTCACCGCTTCTGATGAAATATTTTATTTTACAAATGCATACATAAATTGTAACGATTTAAATGAGATATACAAGTCCAAGTATGAAACAACTTTTACACAAATTTTTTTTCAGAAGCATCAAGTTTTTACAATCCAATATTTGTAATCAACACATTAGTTCAGTCAAAGAATTCAACATATGATGAAGACATTTTCTTGATATAAATAATGACCCATTTGAATTTCTTTTCCTTTTTGGTATTCACAATAAATCACAAAAATAATCACTAAAAAAAAAAGAAAAAAAGAAACGTTTATATAATAATAACAACCAAGTTTTAATTATTTAAAAACTGTGACACAAAAATAAATTTTTTTCTCACTTGATTCAAATCAATAGGAAGAAGAATTTAAAATGTGTGCAGTTGTATGAAAATAACTGGCCTCAGAATATTATTACCCATCTTATTTTCCAAAATCAATCAATAATTTTTCCAATCTTTCTACTTTTTCAGAAATTGAGTATTTAAATGAATACTCAAAGCAATATATGTATAAAATATGAGGCTGTTTAATAAGTAGTTTTTGGACATCAGATGTTTAATTATCAATTTATAAAAAATATTTCCTACTTTGCATGTTCATTGCTTAATTTTTTTTCTACTATGTTAATTTCCTCTTAATTCATATTGCTGAATATAAATTATATGAAGTACAAAATATTACTTGGTAGCAGAAACCCTCCAGCATAGCAGCGAAAACTGTCAATTATTTTTGATCTCAGATTTTTCTTTCTTTGAAAAAAGGATGAAAAATTATTGAGAGAAGAAGCAGAAAAATAATTTTTTAAACTTACACAATCACTACCTATTACACCTCAATAATAAGTGTAATTCTGAAAAGTTGTATGTTTGTCAATCTGAAAATAGATAATCTAAAGAAATCAACAAATTAATTTTCTTTAATTTTGGGGAATAAAGAAAATAAATATTAATTAAAAAAAAAACTGCTTACTTAGTTATAGGCTTCATAGGGATTTATTCAATTCTTTAAAAATATTATCATGTAAAAAATATAAATTAAAATGAATTTTTAACTGCATATTTTTAGTGCATAATTTTTATCTACATTATCTGTACAAATTTTTGTATACATACAATTTTGACAATAATAGTTTCTCTGATTATGTGTCACAGACAAATTTAAAGTTATGAAGTATTTTAGAATAGATTGACTTTCTAAATTCTGCTACCAGGCTTACTAATGTATAAGCCCATATGTCTAAAAATAATCAGATTTCTTTTTTATCCTAATATCTTATTTAATAAGAAACTTAATACAAAATTTTGAAGATCAATGTTAGTTAAATGATTTCTTTGAACCACATTTTAAAGCTAATGTTTTTTTCCCCATTTAGTCATTGCTGCTAGTAAAACACCATCTTTTGCCAGTTCCATTGGTGGAGAAAAGCAGATAAGCCAAACAACCAGCAATTGTGCTAGTCCTTCTGTAGTAGACGGTTTAACTAGTGTGGCAATGGCACGATCAGTATCATGCACAACAGAATTTGCAGAGAAAGATACTGCAGCTGCTCACAAGCCTTCCCGGAAACAGACAGTGTAGCTCTGCACAAAACAGCATTGTATTTACTTTCATCTTTTCTCAGTAGCACACCATTCTTCTGTACAGAAAATTTAGAGTCAAGCAGTTTGCTCATGCCACATCAATTAAATTGTTCTTACTATTCCATTCTTTAAGAAAAATGATGTAGAATATTTAGAATTATCACAATCAATGTAAAAAAAGAAGAAAAAAAGAGCTGATATATTTCTTTTGCATGCAGATTTGGTAATAAATATGTTATAAAAAATTGTCTATTTTCATAATAGAACACCAAGAAGATAATTTCTGGAAAAAACTTAAAATTTTTAAATGAAAAAAAGTATAAATTTCATACCAACTATTGCATAGCATTTAATTAGACACATTGAATTATATGGATTTTTCTTTTTTTAGTCACTGTAACATCAAAACTATATTACACTAAAAACCACGAATTTAAACTGACTGCAATATATTCTGTCTATAATTTAGACTAAACAGACTTGAATCTTTTTATGTCTATGATAATTTTGAATTTAGAGTAATAGATATTCATTTCATTTTAGACACTTAAGTCACGACATATTTTTAAATTTAAAAACGGAGAGTTCTAAAAATTTTAGAATATTTAAAAAATGTTTTAAGCAGATTACTATAACTAAGGTTAACTTAATTATTTAGCAACAATACAATAAACTGAGCAAAAAACTATTTTGATGGGAAATTGTTCTCAGATAAACTTAGAATTTTAAGGAATTTTCGATTAAACCAGGAGAAAAGGGAAAACTTTAAGAATCTACGGGAAACTCCAGCAGAGTTTGCAGGTATATAAAGTTTACTTTCATCTCACAAAATTGATATCTTTACAATATTTAAATAAAATAATTTAATTCTAAACTAAACAGGATTTGTTACCCAAATTTAAATTTGTCTGATGGAAATAATAATGTACAAAAAAGTAATATTGAAGAAAAAGAAATTGATTTAAAATTTTCTTTGGGGCAGATGAAAATTAAAATACATGAAATAGAAACAATTAAAAACGGACAAAAATTCTGACTCTTTACCATTCCTACTAATCCTTCTATTCTTCAACTTTACTCTTAATACCAACTCTTAAATGAACTTAAAAAAATTACCTTCTCTAACTTGAGTCTTTAGTATCAGAGACTTCGTCACTTTTTGGATTAACTAATGAATTTTCATCTTGCTCCAAATCTTGTTCATTTGAGCTTTCCTCGCTCTCACTATCAGAGCTAGTTTCTTTTTTCTCACTTTGAAGATTTTTAGTACCTTTAAAATATATTCAACATTTTATAGTTAGTTTATACATTTTTCTCAGTTAAACGAATTTAAGAAAAAATATACTAACCTTTTTTCAGCTTTTTCCTTTCTTTTCGTTTCAGCCTAAAAAAATTTAAAAACTCAGAAACTATTAATCAATGAATAAAAAAAAAGCAATAGTATTATGTGAAATAACAGAATTTAGTTACCAAACACCATTATCAAATATAATGTAAATTGATCAAATAGTGTAGCAAAGCAAACTTGGTAATATTTAGAAACAAATGTTATGTTCTGCATGTTATGTGCTAAAGAAACTGAATACCATATAAAAACAGAATATGCCTAAATTATTAGCAACTAGAATAAACATTCACAGATTTTCAATTAGAATGCATGTTCTTATAATACCCAGAGTAAAAAGATTAGGAATTGTTCAGACATAGTCATTTTCAAGGATATTTGTGAAACATTAAAAATGATAAAACATCAAGTAAATATGAAACTCATAAATAAAAAGCTTTTAAAAATAAGACCTAAAATTATGGAGAATAAATAAAATGATTATGGAGTATAAATAACTAAAAAAAAATCAAAACCATTCCTAAATTTTAACATTTCTCTGGAAAGGAACATTATTTATTAATTTCTCTAAATAGCCTTATCAATATTGAACTAAAAAAAAGTAGGAAGCTGAACAATTTTAGTAAGAGATAGAAATGAAAATTTCAATATGGAAATTTTTGAAAAATCTATGGAAATTTGAGCATGCAAAAGTTTTTACATTGATGGTTTTCAGAAATTTTGACACTTAAATACTAGAATTGGCATACACTCCTTGTAATTAAAATTGGCAGCACAAGGTCAAATAATGTTTTTTTTTTTTTTTTAACTTTCATTGCTTTGGTAACAATGTAACAGTGATGTAACAGGCAGCAACACTATTTTTATTCACACAGCAGTTAAAAAGTGTCGATAACTCATAACTGTACATTATAATAATGCAGTAGAAGGGGAAAAAAGCAAGATTTGTAAATATCATGGTAACGGAGAGGGGAAATTGAGTAACCTTTAAGCACTGATTCTATTTACAAAGATAATTCATATGATTGCTTAAATGTTTCTGCTTAAAAGACACAATGTTTCTAAATATACAATATGAAAATTGCCTTTTTCTAACAGATACAATAAATCACTTCCAGCATCTTCTAACATGTTTCTAAAATTCAGCACAGAAGAATTAGACTAGCTGAGAATTTGAAAAGCTATACAAGTTTTAAAAAAAAATTATGTGCTAGGTTAACATTGGTATAAAAATTATTGTTTCAGTCTTTATTGTAACTTTACATTCATTCATGAACCAAGGATAATTTCGATCCACTGAAATTTGTTTTTAACCAATATAACATAATTATCAGTAGTAAACTGGACAAGCAATAGAGGTAAAGGGATGGTATGCTGCTTTGGTATAGTGGATTATTGATTTCCTGTTTTAACTTGCATTTTTGTTACAATGTAATATATTTCATTATAACTAAGACATTACACATTATCTGTATAGTAGTTTTTTTATATAAATTTACTTTATTAACTTTTTTTTAAAAACCTAATGGCAACATGCAAATGGACAAGAAAAAATGCGAACAGACTAGTTATATCTTTTACTTACTGATCCTTTGAAATGGTGACTAAATATAATAATTAATGACAAAGCATTAATTTTCGTTTGCATACTAGCAAAATAAGATAACATTTCTTGTAGCACAAAAAATGGCTATAATACTCACATAAAATTTAAAAACTATGTAATTAATTTTAAAATTTAAGTGAAATTATGAATGCTTAAAGTTATTTATCTATAAAAATAATTAGAGACATAGTACAAAGCAATGGTAACATTGCATTTTGCAGAAGTCAATGAAAAGTATAAACCTTTTGGCACGATTTTTAGATGTCTTTTCTTCCATTTTTCTTTTATTTTCTTCTATTTTTCTTTGAAATTCTTCATCTAATTTTTCCTAAAAATAATGTTAAATAAAAATGAAATTCGAGTATACAGTACTTAATTTAATAATTATAAGACTGCTGTGAAACTCTTAAAACTTAAATAGTTAATGGAAAATTAGAACATTTTGGTTTGAATAGAGAGCATGACAAAAAATATTCGTTAATAAATTATTCTCAATGCCTTATTAAAAGTACAATTGCTTTGGTATCATGATATTTTTTTTAATACACTGAAATTTGCACCACACTTTGTAATGCCAAAATAAGATATTTGCAATTTAAAAAAATAATTAAAAAAACAAAGAAATTGTTGTTAAGTTATGGTTACTTTCTTGTAACAAATGAGTTTTTCATACCACAGTCAAACTAAGACTAAAAATAGTTTAAACTTCAGCATTAAAACTAAGTTCCGCTACACTACAAACTAATTTCAGTTACACGATGGATTTGTCGATGTTTGGGATGACGATAAGTTTACAATTAGTAGTTGTAGATTTGGTGCGCTATTGCTTTTTAGCTATTTTGGAATTTATGGCATGATATTGCAGTTGAGCTGGAAATTTGAAAATTTATGAGCTTAAAGATGGATTTTTATGCTTTTTATGATAGGAAGTTATGCACCTGCCATTTTCAGGTTACAATTTTCAATGTTTTTGTCTACTCTGATTTTTTCCTGAAATGGTAAAAAGTCATTGTGTCCTTAGCAACAGTTGGGCGATTAACATCAACACTGTTATTTTTTCTTCTAACTCTTGCAATTTAATTTTTTTTTCCTTTAAAGTTTTTCTTAAACTATTAGATTTTGATATATCATTTAGTTTCCCTGTTTGAACAGCAAATTCATCAGCGTACTTAGTAAGTTCATCTATGCAACACAATAATCTAAAGAGTTTCTAAGGACTAATTTAGAAATCTAAGTAGTTCCAAGTACTCCTTGGAGACTCTTTTATTTCCAAGGAGTTTCTAAGGAGTATAAGAAGTCTGTACGCACCCTGTATATATATTAGCAAAAAATATAATTATCATACAATTAGATTCTGTTATTTATTCCTCACACTTTTTATTTATCTTTGAAATTGACTTTTGTCATAATATCAAAACAGTGAAAAAATTGTATTTGGAATAAAATACAAAGGCAATAATAAGAAGAAGAAAAAATAAGAAAAACAGATAAAATGATGCGGACAACAATTTATTTATTTATTTTAAAAAAAAAGAAGACAGATTCACTTTTTGCTTTGACATTCTAAAAAAATCACTCATAATTCTTTTTAATTAACAATTAATGAAATAAAATAATCTTGTAAAGTTTTAAAATAAATATTATACAGAATTCAGTACTTGCAACTTCAGAAAAACTGAAGTTGATCATGCTCAACCATGTGATTTAATTCAGATTTAACTGGATAAACTGGTAGGCGACATCATGTCAAACCTGATTGGTTCTGAATCGACAAATGCCACAATTTACCTATGATAATGTCACTTACAGGTATCCAATGCTTACATGTTACTGCTTGCTCTCTATAAAATGAATTTCATGGAACCATAAAAAATTGACCAAAGTAGACAAAATTTAAGGAAAATTACCATTTTAAGGAAATTCTCTTTCACATATGACAGCTTTGGACTACTCATATTTTTATAGCAAATAAATACTCAAATAATCAATAGTTTTAAACCTCAAGGATGAGATTTGCAATGACCAATTAAAAGTAGAAGATAAAATTTGTTTATTTTCTTTTTAACATTTATCATTAGAAATTTCAGTATGAACAAGCGAAGACTGTTATAAAGTATTTTAAGATCAAAACTAGAAAAACTGAATCAACATTATGAAAAATCTGATTTAAACATCAACTTGTTGAAAGCATTTCCATTTACGCATGGTTTGAATCAATTATAACTACAAAAAGGTTTTTATTAATATTTTTTATTTAATTTTTTGTAAGTAGGCAGGGGTCTGTCCAGGTCGAATTTACTACCGTTTAGCGGTACCTTCACAAATTCAACTTTTGGAAAAACGGTAGTTTCACAAATTCAATTTTAGGAAAATCGGTAGTTTCACAAAATAATTTTTCTTGAAACTTTATTTTTGTATCCCTTAAGAAACGATAAATCCATATTTTTACCATATTTTTGTGTTGATTTTTAAATATAATTTTTAATTTTTCACAAATTATGTCTAAATTTTCACAAAATAGGTACCTCTCAGAAAAACCTAGACAGACCCCTGGTAGGTAGTACTTACAAAAAATTAAATAAAAAATATTTAGGAGTTATTTGGTTCAAGTTTTTTGTTAGGCAATTTTTTTCCCCCGTTTATTTTTTGTTTTCATCAGAACTTTGTGCCTAATTTGCTGCAAGTAATAATTCAGAAATCATTCTAAGTTATCGAATCGTTAAACTAAATACTTACAAAATGTTTGTCCCTCACTTTCTTTATCTATTTTCTGAATACGAAAAATGTAAGTAAATACTTTTCTAAAGCATTGATTTTAGGGTTCTCATTAAAAATAATTGCTTGAAAATTAGCAATTTAATCCAGATTGAAAAGCATTAAGAAACAATCTATTTTATTGTTACATGATTTAAAGTTAATTTATTTCGTAATTTACATTAAGTTTTTAAATTTAATAATTTTATATGTAATGGAAAAAAAGTTCCAATATAGGATAATTCATTTATTAAAACATCACATTAACTCTCAAAACGATATATTCAATAATAAAAAGCAAAACAAAATAACTAACTTTTTCAGCCTTTCCTTCAATCATTTTTTGTCTTGTATATTCTTTTCTTCTCAGATGTCTATAAACATGAAATTCACCACTACCAGCTCCAGCACTTGATCCTATATTACAAACATTTCATTAACATCAAATTGGCTTATAGTATTATCACTATCTAAGAAAAATATTTATATGAACTAAAAATAATTAAAAAATTTTGTTAGACAAAAACCTTGAATCACCGAAAAAATGTAACTCAATTGTGTTTCATTAATTTGCAAAATGTGAAGGAAATAAAATAAAGTGCCATAAATATATAAAAACAATTAAAACCTTACTAAAGAGGTAAAACTTTAAGATCAAGAAAATTGAAAATTCTAAGCAAGAAGACTTATGCTAAATCGAATAAAATGCTATAATGAATGTATACTTTATATTATATCATGAGGTATACCTATTGAAGATGGAAATTCTTACCTGGATTTGCATAGTTACAATTTTATTTATTTTTCTTTTCAATATTAATAATTATTTTTTTCTTTTCACGAAGTTATATACTCATAATAAAAAATACATACTGAATGCAAAATCTGAGCTAAGTAACAGCTGGACATGCACTTTCAAACGAGATTTAATATTTAAGTTTCTTATACCTATTAAGTCCATATAACACTTGCTTGTATATAATGACGAAATTAGGCGTGATTAGAGTTGTATGGTATAATTGGCTAATTGAAGATTGTGATGAAAACAGGATAATGAAAATGACAGTTGAAGATGAAAACTGAATCATAATTATAATAAAACTTTTATTTAGTATTTGTAAAGCTCGAGATATTTTATCCATAATAAGACTTTCTAAGTAATATAATAAATTTTGCATAATAATATTAATAAGGATAAGCCATGGGAGATAAATCTCCCATGAACAGCCTAATCAAAAACCAAATTAAAAAGTGATTGAATTGTTTTCAACAGACAGTTGGGAGCATGGGTAGAGATCTATGGTTGGCAATTTATCAAAAGATAACAAAGCCAAAAATAAAGCCAATCCCCCGCCCCCATAATCAATTTAAAAGTTTTATGCCAATCTTAACCTTTTTTCTTTTGAGTCTTTTTTTGAACTATGGTAATATACATACCTCTCTCCTTTATTATTTCTTTGTAAAAAAAAAAAAAAAAACTTCATTATCGATGAAATCAAACTTTTAAAAAGAAAAATTACACCATACAGAATTTATTTAATAATCATAAAATGTAAAAAAATATTTTAGTCTTAATTAAGTGATTGAAATAATGCCGAACCTGATACAGAATGATGGATTTATTTTTGCCTCAAGAAAATTAAGTATTTGTCACAGATAAAAAATAACTGTCATAAAGTTCATTTATGTTGAAAGAATCAGAAATATGAAGTGTATGCACTGGAGCATTTATGAATAATTAATTAATAAAATGCATTTTATGAATAATTGGTAAAAATTAATATCTTTCATACCCATGACATTTCGAACAAATTCTGGAACAGAAAAGCCTTTTCTTTCTCTAGGACCATCAGGTATAATGACTGGCTTATCCTAGATATAGAAAACATAAAACAATTAATTGGTTATAAAAGAGAAAGATGTTTGAAAAATAACAAACAAAACAAAGCACGAAAAGAGCATTATCCAGTAATTATTTCTTATGATTTGAAATTTGAAGGTGTAACACTCATAAATCTAAAACTTAAATTTTTTTTTTTTTTTTAAATATAGAATACTGTTGAAACTAATATTTTCAATCTTAATAATGAGATAAATTTTCCTGTGCAAAATAAAGAACTAAAAATTATGTATTTTGAGTAACAAATTGTAGTCTGATATGACATTACAAATATAAAACAAATGTTTCCTCTTTTATCATGTCTACAGCAAACAATAGCTTAACTTTGTAAATACAATTCTGTCTGGCAATCACATGATAAACCTCCTGTCTTTCTCACTGAGATCGCAAGTCATACTTGCCAAACTAAATGTGTAAGCTGAAATAACTATTTAATTCTAAAATTATTAAAATAAAATGGCATCAGGCAAGAGTTTCAGATCAGTATCTATGCCATAATGTAGGTAAAGTTTTGGCAACTTGGGACGGTAACGCAGAAGTATAACCAACAAAAAAAAAATTCCTGAAGGAATTTAACATGAAATGTATGACACAACATAGACAACTGCCGGTAAACTTCAATATTGCATATTTTTTTAACATTTTGAACAAGTTTAAAATCTATACGGAACCTTGAAGTTTCTGTGAACAGATATCAATATAAAAATATGTGATGGTACCAAATGCAAGTGCCTAATCTTTGTACTTACAACGAAGTTAACAAAAACACAGACTGGTGTGCGTAGATATGGCTAATTTGCCTATTTTATAAAGCTTTTTGAAGCTTCTTGCATTCACTAATGGTTGTTGCTAAAACTAGACAACTAAATTGCTTAGTTGGCAAAGCAAAAATCTTTCCAAAAGTGGCCATCACATTTACTTTTCTAAAACTAATTTACAAAATTACATTTTGTAAAATTTTTTCCAGATCAAGTAATTGTGATGAGGAATTTGAAGAAGAAATAAAATCAAAATTGTAAACAAATTTTGAAATTCAAAATATGACAACCAAAACATTGTAATTACTTTTTCCATAAGTATGTTGAATAATAAGTCATCTAGAAATAAATATATTTTGCATAATAATTTAACTTGAATATTATTCAATACTTAATAAAAAAAAATAAATAAAAACTAGGCCCAAAGAAGTTTTAAATTTGAAACACGGGACAGTTGTATTCTACTTTTTTTAAAATATCAATTCATATTTTCAATAAATAAATAAAATTGCTTTACATATTTTTCACGACTTAACATACAATTGCAGAATAAGTTGTTTAAACTTGTATTATGTGACGAATTATTATTTCCAACATAAGGTACAAATTGAAAATGATTAAGGAAATGAACAATTAATCGTTTGTTTTTTAAAAAAAAGTTTTTCTCGCTTTCAAGGGAAACAACAATTTTCAAAGAGAATTATATCAATATGCAAGAAAACCTACGTGCATAGGTCTATCGAATATTTATTATATACTTACTGGATTTGCCATCAATCTGTCAAGTTTTAACTTTTGAAAGTCAATTGGAGTTTTAGGAACAAAAGGTCGCGAATTTTCACTCATTGTGATACAGTTTTATTCCAAATATATATTTCTAGATAAATGAATAGCAGATCGTAAGAAACAAAAGATGCACTCTTTCAACAATTGTATCTTTAAACTTATTTCATAGTATAGTGTAGAAGATGAATCTTTCCATTTAAAAAGGGAGAAAACTCCATCATAGCCCATAACAATACAAAAATACACAAATGTCTGAAGGTAGTTTATACTTCCTTCTTTCAAACCGGTGATAATTGAATGGAGGAATAAAATACGTTGTATCAATTATTCGAAGCCCTAGCAAATAAAAATAAACATTGCTATCGCTTTGTAATTTTTTCAAAACAATAGTCAATCATTTGCATTAATTGTCATGATTAAAACAAATTTAGAACGTGTTTAACAAATTTATACAACTTTATTTATTTATCTTCATTGAAAACACGTTCCCAAGGTTCCCAGCTTTTCCAGAAAATCTCGATCTCAAAACTCAAAAATGAATTTGCAGTTTTCGGTGGCCCAGATACAACAACCTCGTAGGAATATATGCAAGTTCCAAGCTCACATAAAGTTCTATAAAATCTCCGAGCAATTTTAAATTAATATTTATTAAATATTTCAATATTTTTTAAAGCATGTCTTAAGGTTCAGTAATAAGATATTTTTCACATCACGAATATTGTTAAATTTCTTTTGTATTTTTTAATAATGGCTACATAAACTTACTGCCCTGGTAACATTTGTAAACAAACAATTAGTTGCATCAAGTTTCTATGCTTCAAACTGCAAATTTTTATTTAAACTGCCAAAATTCTGGTAATTTGTCAGAAAAGTTTATTGATTGTTTTATTTTCTGTAAAAGAAATCCTTCATATAATATGCCTGTTTAAATCACAGATAGAGCTATAAAAACATTATCTCAATCCTGGGATGGAGATTTTTCGTCCCTTTTACTTTAAAATTCAGATTTGTATTTCAAAATATTTATTATTACTTTTTATTGTGTTCAAGGTACCATTGAACACAAAATCAAATACTTATAGTGTATAATTTGAGATACATTCGATAGTCAGGTCCTGAATATGCTAAACGTAAATATTTTTATACTCAATCAAATTATCTTCAGTACTAAATATTATAGAAATTAATATGCACTATACAATTATGATCTTCTGGTGATTTTTCTCTGCCTTTTATTGGCGTTTTGTTTGTTGCACAAAAGTTTCGATTTTATTTCTTTGTATAAGGTGTGTAGGTAATTATTAATAACAATATTGACCCAAAAAATTTGTTTGAGGTAATCTTGACCTCTAAGCAGTACCGGTACCATATGTAAATTATTTAGTATTGGTAGAGTTCGCGGTAACACTGTATTAGAATAAGTAGCAGGAAGTTTCCATATTGATCAAATATTTGTCATACAAGTGAGTTTGTGTGTGCTGTCTGGTTTTTTTGCTTGTATAACTGTATTGTAGATCATTATTTTTATACAACAACTAATTTATTTTCTAATGAACTCATTTATATTTCATTATGTATTCTTAATAAGTTTATTATTTTTGAACTCTTTATCCTCTGGTGCCATTTAGTTTAAAATTCTAAAAAGGAAAAAAGTGTTTTGTGCTTTTCTAAAATGGACAAATTGCAAGGATTCTACAAAACTAAAAAGAAAATTGGAAAAATATTTTTATTATTTAATGTCTTTTCATTTCAAGGTATTTATTTGTTTTTATTTTGAATTTTGCTATATTTTGATGTCTATTTTATTTCAGGTTTATGTTCATTCTAGTTTCAAATTGTAAAAAAATATATTATGTTTTTCTAAAATGGACAGTCTTGGAAAGGATTGTATAGAGCTGAAAAAAGAATATGAAAAATGTTTTAATTATTGGTATTCGGAAAGGTTTTTGAAAAACAAGGAAGGAGATTTAAGTATTTGTGAGCCTTTGTTTCAAGAGTACCAGAAATGTTTAAAGGTAAGAGTGTATATCTATATGATTAAAATTTCTTAAAATAAAACTCTCAAAGATTTTAGGAATCTTGATGAAATTTTTTTTATACATTCTTTGTGTAACTAAAGAAATGAAATGATTATTTTAAATGTCAGTTGATAGTGTGTGTCTTTATATTACTCAGTAGAAGTTAGTTTCAATTGTGCAGGAACAATACCTTCAGGTGTTTCCTTTTCAAATTAAAATTTGTTTTGCAAGTGTCAATTTCGAAAAATTAGCTTATTACTATATGCTATTATGAATTTTTTACTTTATAAGTTTTTTTTTTATGGAAATCTATTAATGTATTTTCTTTTTGATCTTAGGTTGCCATAAAGAAAAACAATATACCCCTATGGGAATTAGATAAAGTACAAAATGAAAATATCAAGAAAAGTCATGAATCAGGCACTTCTGCATAACTGATTTTGTAGTAATTTGTTTTTATACAATTATTTATTGTTTGTAACATTTATTTGTCGTTCATCTGCATTGTTATCCTAAAACTAGAATGTTTATGATATGAGAGTCATAATAAATGTCAATTGAATTTTTTTCTATATTTCGTGGTTTACTTCTCTTTTTTTTTATATTACTTTCATTCTATTTTCTTTTCATGCTTTTGCTTATCAACATACTGTCCCACTTGTTTGAAAATAATATTTTAAATAAATTACTGACAAAAATTTATGCATGACAAAAAGTGTAATGTTTCTGTTTTGAGGAGGTTTGATCTCATTGAGATGCAAATTGCAGCCTCTTCCTTGTTCACTAGTATCTAAGTATGTGTATCTTTCTGGCAGAAATAATGCAACATAGCAATTCAGAACGGTTTCTGCAGTAATAAAGCATAAATATTTCAAATATTTTATATTTAAACTAAATAATGTGCACTGTAAGAAATCATTATTTTGGTCAAATAATGGAACAAAAATACTCAATTTTAGCTTTTAACAAGAGTAGTTAACTTCTTTTTATTCATTTTCTCCGGTTAACTTATGTACTAAATTACAGAGTTGAAATAAGAATGTTCGAAAGGGATCATTCCACAAATTAATATTTTTTTATTATGGATCCAACTCATCTCTCTCATCATCATACTCGGGTAAATGTAACAATTAAATTTCAAATTTTCGAATAAAAAATTTGTAAATTTTTCTTTTTAAAGACATTAAAATTGAAGATTTTCATTTGAGCTTTATTTTATTTATTTATTACATTTATTAAATACAGATTAAGTAATATTTTATGCTATTTCTCATTCTCTAAATAGTTTACATCCTAGTTTATCATATTCTGTGGTTCTTGTTTAATTTTGCAGTACTTTAGTTTCGAGTAGCTTTTCTTACGTGAAGTTTTTGTTTCTTATGGTGTTATGTTTCAAACAGAATTTATTAGGAAATACACATTTTGGGCATATTTATATGAATAAGTAAACAATATTGCAATACATTAAACTTTCCCCCCCACATATAATAGTATAGGCATTATATCAATATAAACCTGAAAAACTAGACTTTTTTCTTTTGCAATTTAAAAGCATTATTTAATTTTCAATGTTATAGTTGTCACAAATATGTGATATAGTGTTTTACTTGTATTAAAAAATCTGATCATCATGTTTAAGTTTTTTTTTTTTTTATTGAATTTTTTTTAGCATTAGAACTACAGTTTTTATGTACTTAGTGTTCCCCCATCCACGTAGAAATTGTTTTTTTATGTCAAATAACAAACTCACTCAGAAGGTTAAATTTAGGGACCAATTTATTAATAAAATGCACGCATTTTAAAGTAAATAGAGAGTCACATCAGAGATATCCCTTATGATATTAATTATATCTAAAGACAAAGATATAATTAATATCATAAAGTCTAAAAGTGGTTGGGTCACTTAATAAAAATGTATGAGAATCAAAGTTTAAAAAAGGTCTTTTGGGGGAGAATAACAGGAAATAGAAGTGTTGGTAGACTCAGAAAGCGAGACCTAAAATCTTGAAAGTTAACAGCTATAAAAAGAAAGCTGAAGATTGAAAAGTTAAAAGATGTGTGGTGAGGGAAGCTAAGATTCTTCATGGGCTGTAGTGCCAAAGAATGAAAGAGTTTGATAATTAAGTTCAAGGCTGTGGTTAGATTGTTAATTTTTATACAATTAAAAATATTAAAATTTAGTGTTTTCTGGAAAAGTGTAATCTAAAATAATATTGATAAAATGGTTTTTTTTTTAAAAATATTTTATTATTACTCCCTGATCTACAACAAAGAAAAAAACAATAATTGCTCTATGCCTGAAAAGATATGTTGCTATTGTTTGGCATCAGTGTGCCTATTCATTTTATGTGATAAACTAGGAAACTCTGCTCCCTGTTTGCTTCTGTTGCCAATCCCCATGATTCCTTAGCAATCTGCTTTGTTTCTTGATGGAAAACATATACATTTCTTTTAATAATTTTTGTTTGCTCACCAAGCCCAGTTTCTATCTAGTCAATCTAAATTGAATAGCCAATCTAAATTGAATGTCAATCTAAATTACAAGTTTTGAAATCAATTCCTTGCTGTTCATAGTACAATTTCAATGAATTCAAATACAATTTTGTAAATGTAATTTTGTTTACTAAATAAGCTGATCACAAGGTTGCAGTTTCTATTATATAGCAACTTCATGAGCACATGAATTCATACTTATTTTTCATTTACTGTAAAAATGCGTTTTCATTTTTTTAAGGTATTGTTTGATAATTGAGTGAAAAGTAAATTATCAATATTGGTCTCCAAATTTAAATATTTTTTTTTTGTAAATTTGTTATTTGTATTCCATAATAAGTTGATTGTCCAATCACATTTTTATGCAAAATTTATTAAAACGTTATTAATGTAATAAAATAAGATAAATATTATAATTTGTGAAATTATATTTTAATGTTAACTTATGTAAAGATGTTAATTTACTTGTAAGTTTACATCTTTGGTTTAAGTTTATAAAATGGTGCCAACTTGATTTTTAAATAAACAATAAATGTGTAATGTAAGTAAGGAACAAAACCACAAGGTTGATAAAAATGAAAAACTTGTAGCTAAATATTGTTGCTTATTTTTATGTATATTTTTTTAAAGTTCTTTAAAATAATAAACTTGATATTCAAAAGTTTTTGCCCGTTTAATTAAAATTTGGTTGAATTTTCGTTTAACACAATAACTGCAGAACATAGTGATAAAACTTATTAAGTGTGATTTTGGTAAGTAATAAGAAAAAATTCAGTTATTCAGTTTAATTTAAGTATCTTTCTTTAAACAATTTCCTGATGTGTAGAAACATCTGGAAATAGTTTTTATAATCATATTACTTTAAATTTTATATGTTCGTCCAACCATAATATTTTTGTAAATCCGGAAATATGACAGTTTTGAAATTTTACTTGATATGGTCTTCTTTTAAATTTTTTATCGCATTAGAGATTAACTCATCATCTATAGCATATCTTAAGAGGAATTGATAGTATTGATGTAACGTATCTATGGAATGGAATTCCTGTTGAATGAATTTTCACTGTGGCTCTTCTTATTTCCTTTCATCTCCTCAAAAAACTGAGATTTCTTGTGGAAGAATTCTTATTTTATTTTATTTTAGCAAAGTTTTAAGTAGGGTATTTTTATAAATACTGGAACTAATGTAGTTAAATTTGTAATTTGTTTCATTGAAAATCAATGAACAATTGAATTTTGATTTATAATTATCTTTTGATGAAAAACTAAATGATTGCTGTTTAATAAATTTTAATGCTTAATAGACTTATTCTGAAAGAGTTAAGAAAAAATATTATTATTTTTTATACATATATGGTTTCCTTATTTTCAGTGTGGGGAAAAAAATCACTGCAAATATTTTTTTAGTTATTCACATACTTAGATAGATGCAAGTTTTTTACTCAAAGGATTCATCTTGGTTGTTCAAATTAGATGGTGCTAAATATGGTGTTATCAAAATATAAAGTAAATTAACAAGAATAGTTTAATTAAGGGAAGGTAAAAACTTTTGAGTCCCTTTATCATGTTGACCAAGTGTGACATATATGTCACATAAATTTCGAGAATTCTTCTTATCTGAAGCAGGACTGTTTTCACATCAAGCTAATGTGTTTTATTCTTTTCAAAAGTCAAGTAGTAGCAAACGAAAGAAAATATTCATTTAGTTGAAAGAATTCCCTTTTTTTATTAGCTTTTTATTTATTTATTTAAAAAAAATTTTTGAATCACAGGCTATAAAACAGTCAGGTGTTAATGGGTTAATGATGATTTTATTCTTTGCATTTTTCATCAATTGTTCAAAATCAAAATTTTTGCTTGCAAATAAAACTCCTTAGTCCAAAGGTGACAACACAAAGATTAATTTTTAAAAATTAGTTTCTTATCTTTATTAATAAGGATGAATAAATTTTACATTGTAGAGTTATAGTTTATAAATTATTCGCAAAACTTTTTTGCTAGACAAAATTAAAGACTTTTACTGAATCACATGAATCTTGATAAATCTGAATGTAACTAATATGTATTATTTCTAATATAAAGTCGTTATTTTTTTAATTTTTCTTTGTTTGAGAATTGTTCTAGCCACCTTAAACATAATACTAAATTTTTTTGTAGCTTGCAATTGAAAATGTATTTTATCATTATTAAACTATTATAAAACTTTAGAATATTTTATAAGAATGAATGCTAAAACTTTAATTGTTCTCATTTTAACCATATTTGAATACGTGTTAAGATTCATAAAAAATATTCAAAGATTGTTTCCACAATTACACTGCGATTCATACTATCACATTACCAGTTATTTGCCAACACTGCAAATCAATGATTAGTTCTTTCATACTTGGTGTTAGTGTTACTTCTAAGAAACATATTTTTAAGGATTCTCCAAATTTTTTTGTTTTAGTGTTTTAGTGAGATGGGAAATTTCCTGTCTTTAGTTAAATTGGCAAGTCTTCCTAGCTGCAAACAATGGAAAAATCATTATTGTCAAATATGGAATTTGTTCCGTAATGTGAAAAAATGAAAACAAATGGAAATTCAAAAGGAAAACAAAACTTGTTTTAATTGATCCAAACAAAATAGAAAAAGGTAGAAAAGTATCTTTCATATCAACGAAAATTTAGTTCCAAATAAAATTTAGAAAAATAGAGCAGATTGTGAGTGGCATTCCAAGCTTATATATTTGGGTAGGGGAAATTCCCATTTTACCTTATGAAATTTCTAATTTGACCGAATAATCGCCTGTTATTAACCTTACATATAATAAGGAGCAAAATGATAAGATTTATACTTTTATATTTTATTTTATTTTTAGAACTTACTAGAAAAATTTCATAAATTTATTTTTCAAAAAAAAAGAACTTTGTCATATTTAATTCAGCAAATGTGGCCGAATATTGAATAGATTTAATGACATCTTTTAAAATACATTTATTTGTTAAATTTGAAAACATCAAGTAAAAAATATGATTTAAGTGGAAAAATGTATATAAGGATATAGTTTATTTATTCCAATAAAACAATTGAAAATTTT